GGTTCAAAATGTTTGGCTACTAATCTGAGATCATCATTTCTAATATACCGATCACCTTTTTTTCCATTGAACATGCATTGTAGTTTGTCACCGAGCATGAGATTTATTTCCATGTTAGTTTTTCCACTATTTGAGCTTTCATTTATGAGCATCCTAAATGGGCAGTCTGGCGAATACTTATTACCCTTCATACGTTCTGATGATTTTTTAGATGTCTCATTGATATTATATACATATATGGGCATGCCTTTATCTTTCATTCTAGCCAGATAAGTAATATTTATTCTTTATACGATAAATAACCTTTCTTTTGCAATTCACTTTTAATGAACGGATATAAATCACAATCGTATGGTATTTCAATAAGATCTACACCTTGCGCTTTGCATATATCCCGCTTTTTTCGATCACGCTTCCTTTGCTCATCTAAATCTATCTTGCCTCGCTTATGGAACATTGGATTCTCAGAAAAATGTTGAGAGCCCTGGAATTCGTATGCTAATTTTAGCCCTTCGTTATACCCGTCTAGTTGCATCTCATTCAAAAACGACGGTTTGCAAGATGGAAATTTCTTACCCAACAGATCCTCAAAAATATATCTACAACGTCTTTCATCGGTATGGTGAAAACAAACTGGGCACCATTCGAATTTACGCTTCTGAATTTTATAAGGTGCATACCATTGATGGGGTCCACATGTCCAGAGATATACATCGTAACCATTTATTTGATTAGTTTTACCAAGACACTCCCCACCGCGCTTCTTGCGCCTTCGCTATTTTATTAATAACACGGATGAAATTAACAGACCTGGAACGAGTGTTTTCTTCCAATATACTCTGGGGCGGATACTGGAGCATATCTATATTTACGTGCATAAGCTCTTCTCTCACAAATCCACGCTTTGGAGCATATTCATCATCGTCATCTCCGAGATAATATAAAACCGGTTCATTCTTCGTTACAACAATTTTGCGGATTTTATGAAGGCTTGGTGAGAATGTCGGATCTGTCGCGCGACGTGCCGTTTCCATACCTCCTTCCCACTCTGCATTAGCAAGCAGATAGCGAACTATATCACCTTTCTTCAACCTATTCTCCTCATCCTTTCCAACAGGACGCTTATACTTTGTAGATGGCCTAGATTCAACTTGTTCTAACCGAATAGCCAGTTTGGGAGCTAAGCCCCACTTTGTAGAACCCGGAGCTCGAATGAGGCGCGTCGGATAATTATTTAAGTAATCAATAACTTCTGGTAAATACTTGACCCATGCTCTTATTAATCTAGGATTTTTAGATATTGATTCGACGGCATACTGGATTTTATAAAGCATCTCTGCTAACGTCTTATTGAATCGTTCTACAAGAGCTAATCCACGATGACTATAAGCGCCAATCACTCGAATTGTGACATTATGCGCTTCCATTAGCTGACTTACCGATTTTTTGAATTCCGTTCCGCTATCACATTGTAGCAATTGAGGATAGATAAGGGGGTTATTAGGATTATCATAAATTTTCCTGAATGCTTTTGCAACTTCGGAACTATTTTTCGATGTTAAAGGAACACTCGCTTTGAACCTGCTAGACACATCTATAATCTGTAATACTGCTTTCCATGTCTTTCCCTTATATTTATCATGCGTAAGAAATAAGAGATCACACTGATGTACACAATTTGGTTTTTGAATTTTTCCATAACTAACCCGTGGAGTATTTTTCGGTGACGGAGCATACTTTTGCCATTCATTCTGATTATGCAACCATTCACGAACTTTTTTATATGGGAAATTATATCCTTCTTTTTTACATGCATCTCTTAAAGCTTTTACATTGGAATGATAGCCAGTAGGTCGGTAAAAAAGCAATTTACAGATTAAGTTAAACTCTTCATTTGGATCGATTCTAATAATAGGTTTGCTCAATTTATGTGAAGCATGGTCTAAGGACCTACTCATTTTTTGATATTATTCATTATAGTAAAAAATTATGTTTAGTCCTTTTTCCCTCCTTATCTCAGAAAAAAGATGTATATATTACTAGTATATGTTATCTGCCTTTTTCTGACTTTGAGCAATTACTGCGAGAAGGTAGGATATAATATGCTGTAAAAAATAGCCATGTCATTTCGTAGACCCCGACCCCCCAATCTAACAACTCATAGATTATCTACAGATAAAGAACTTGAGCTGGAACAAATTAACCAAGAACTCCAAGAGATATTACAATCAGAGGTAGACATCAACAAATCGAATGAAAAATATATCAAGGATCTGGAGTGTAAATATATCAGATGTGAGAAAGAAATCCAATCTCTCAAGAAAGAACTGGAACAGCTTGAAAATGTTTCAGAGGAAGAAAAGGCAGAGTTGAGATCGGAAATATCATCCCTTAAAAAAAGCTTATATCAAGCTAAAAAGGAAATCCGAGATAAGGTATCCTATATCGATATTATAGAGAAGCAATTACAAGAATCGGAAGAGCGGGTTCAAAATTTGAGATATAGATTCAAAGTTATTTCTTCCCGGAGAAGCTCTCCAACTTTATATAATTCAGAAGAGGAAGATATAGATATTAATATGGCGAATCTTGACCTTTTTATACAAATCGAACGAGGCTTAAATCGCATTAAAAATCACATCCAAGGTGGTGGTACTCCATTAAATAATCCTATCAATATTATAGAAGGCATTAGAGGTTCCTTAAATACTGTTCGGCATAATTATCAGTCTGCATATCAGGATATAGATGGTGTTATTGCTCAACGAGATGACAGAGATGCTCAAATAGTCCAGCTACAACAGGATGTCAATTTTTATAGACAACAAAACGCCAACCTTCAGAATCAAACCAATCAACTTATTCAAGCACGAGATACCTTGCAAAATCAAACAAATCAACTTGTTCAGGAGCGAGATACCTTGCAAAATCATGTCAATCAACTTATACCAGAACGAAATACCTTGCGGAATCGTATCAATCAACTTACTAGATATCTTAATAACAGCCGACAAAGATATAATTTGCGAGGGCGTTTGTGGCAAAATGTTACCTTGGCATTAGAAGAACAATCCAAACTCAGGCGTTCTCTCGAAATTATTTATAAGATATCTATTCATCGGCTAAGAGCTACAACAATGCCGAGCTGATAAAGGATTATTAGAATATAATCGAGATCGGCTATTTGATAGATATTACAATAAATTCAAGGATCGAAAGGCAAGTCATATCAAATGGAAAAATAGAGAGTGTAATTCACAGCAATTAATTTTAAATTTACAAGCCCAAATTTTATTACTACAGAATAATCAACCTATAAACAACCAATATAGAGGAATGGCAGGATATGCACCACCCCTATTTTACGGAAAAGCTGGAGAAGATCCTGAAGAGTGGATTAGAGATTTTAGACAATATTGTGAAGCATCTGGGCTTGATCCACTTGCAGATGCTCGAACCAGAGTAAGAATTCATGGACTTTTTGAGACTTGTTTGAGAGACGACGCAAAAGATTGGTATGAAACTAATCTCAAGAATAAAAATTGGGAATTGCAAAATATTAGTGACAATACCAACTTGGCTGATCTTGGGGCCATTAATGGATTGGCTAACAATAATGCATTACGCAATATCAATGCTAATCAGTTTAGAGGCGGAGCTCTTCAAATAAGAAATACAGTTCCAGCTGACAACAATGCAATTGCTACACCATTAGTACCGGCCCATACTGTTTTTGATGAAGACTGGTTAATATCTGGTGGTCGACCAACAGAATTAGCTCCCAATGCTCCCAATGCTAATGTGGGAGAAATACTATAGCTCCAGGGATTCGCATTGGACAGATATTATACTGGTTCAGAACTAATTATCCAACAATAACTGCTGAAAAATCAAAAATTGTATTTCAAAACATTACTCAAGGTAGCGATCCTATAGGTCGTTTTTATGCAAAATTGAAAAGAATGGTTGGTCTTGCCTATCCAGCACTTCCAGCATTAAATCGGGAAGAAATGGTTAGACAGCAATTCTTTCAGGGTCTTTCTCCTGATAACAAAATAGAAGTAAGACGTATTGGTCTCGAATATCCAATTTCCGTTTTACTACCAAAATTAGAAGAAATTGAAAGACAAAAGGCTGAAATGATGTTGGGTCAGTATAATCCTGAATCTCATCCAGTTATTTCTCGATCACAATCTAATACAACAAACAATACAGGTATGTCTGAAACTGAAGTCAGAAACTTGGTAAAATCTATGATGTTATCTGAACAATCACAACCCGTCTCACAAACTATCTCTTCTAAACCTCAGGAGAACCAGATCACACTTTCACTAGACGATTACAAAAAAATTATAGCAGGTTTGAAAGGAACTATTGCTAAAGGACGGCAAACTTTGAAGAAACCCCCTGGACCAGGGAAACGAAAAGCTGATGAACTTGCTATTAACCGTTTTTTAGAAGATAATTTTGATAATACAGGTTTACCTGAAGAAGCTTATAACTATGATCCAGTTGAAGATTTGAGATTACAATTCGAGGAGTTGGATATCAATCAAGCAAAATTAGCTCAAGTGATACATGCAGTTTTAAATTTATCTCAATACAAATGCTCAAAATGCGGTAAAACGGGTCATAATGCTCGCAACTGCCCCAAAAATAAAAAGAAGAGCAAGTCTAGACGTTCTAACAAAAGCAGATCCAAGAAAAAAGGTAAGGTTAATTATGCTATTAAAGATTCAGATTCTGAGTCTGATGCTAGCTCGTCTGATAATGAATCCAATTCTGACTCTGGCTCTGACTCTGGCTCTGGGTCTGAATCGGAATCTGATTCTGAGAACAACTTAACTGAGACCGAAATCTTGAAAATTGTCAATGCCGTTAAATCAAAAAAAAAAAGTAAAGCGGAAGAGTAAATCATCTTCTAAAAAGAAGTCTAGTCCAAAGAAGAGACAAAGTTTCGAATCTCCGATTCAACGTACTTCACAAAAGAAATCAGGTACAATTATTGACTCACAAATTCGAAAAATTATTCTAGCTATGTTTAATGATCCAGAGGTTATAGAAACAATTAGAAACAATA